TTTTGAATAAAAATATTTTAAACTTGAATTTTGAAATTGGTACTTCAAAAACATTGTTGGCTGTATCCACAATTATGTTTGGGGGGGCTAATTTTCATTGTTCAGTTACCTTTTTTAATTTCTTGTAATTTTAATCCAATGCGAAATCTTTGGTATAAATAGTCCCAAACATTTAAGAGGCATAGCTTGTCCCCAATGTTTTAACATTTTTGGCGCAAACCAGTAAACAATGGCTAACACATCTTCCAAAGAGCCAGGGGTGGGCATCTTACCAACAACTGCCTAAAGTGAGCGAACCGACCAGATTCGGGTAGACTTTTGTAAGGTAGTTTGGGTCGGGTAGAAATCAATGGTGAAGTCGTCGGTCAAGTGGGTTTCGAGTTATCGACCAACCCGATAAGAAACGTTTCAAATAGACCAGTTAGCATATATATACATTTATAGAGTCGGCCTCCTGTCTCTCTCACCAACTTTGTCATCTCTCTTACTATTTCTCAAGTTTCTCACCTCTTCTCTAGCCTCAAACACTCGATATTGTTTTTCAATTTCTCAAATCTTTCTTCCCCAAATTTTCTCCAAATTGTGAAAAAGTTGATGGCTTTGCTTTGTTATGCCATATATGTATGATAATGGGTAGAAGATGTAAATCGCCATGTTGTATTTCTATTATTTATGTTGTACCATCGGTATATTGCTACTTTTTAGTTAAGTTGTTACATTGCTACTGAAGATGGAGATTTATCCTAGATTTTTTCATTGATTAGGGCCCAAGCCCAAACAGGGAATTAAAATCGAGCCGACCCAAGTCGATTCAAACATAACTGTAACATCCTGGATTTTTCGTTATAATTAGGAATTTTTAGGGATTTTAATAAAGTTTAGAGTTGGTTCTACTTAAAAATGAAAAAGTTAAGGTGCCAAAAGTGAGATTTAACTGTATATTCATTGTGCAGCTACTGTGCAATTTGGATAGACAGGGCTATGAGACGCACAATAATATGAATGATTATGCATAATTAGGGCCATAGGATTTCTCCTAGCAGCACAATAAGGACCACATATTATTTTAATAAAAAATTCGTTGTTTCATTTATCTCTAGTCTCACACTATAATTAGAAGTCATTTTCATTTAAAAATTACACAAGCATTTGGATAACCTAATTGTTCGGCTAGAAATATGTACTATCTTTAATCAATCATGCTTGATTTGGTATACATCGTGTTCTACAATTTGTCACATGTATTGTCATTCGTTAATTTAAAAAGAAAATAGTTTTCTAGTCCACATATTTTTTGAAAACAAAATGAATGTAAACAATGATGTAAAGAAAGAATGTGCAAATGACAAAATTCATCTTTAATTGATTATTGTAGTTTTTATATGTAACAATTATGAAAATAATGTAGAAATTCTCCCATTGACATGGGGCATTTGTGCGAGTGAAAAATATGAGGTACCTGTCAACCCTAAAAAATTCCATTTTTTTATATTTTAAGTCTCATTTGATTCACGTATCAATCCCGAAAAGTAGTATGATTTTAATTAACTTGTGAGTACTTGAATTATGCATGTGTTATCCTAGATATTGAATTGAGTTAATTATAGATGATCCTGATCATGGTACAAAGTATTGTGCTACTTATTTGTCGGTGATGTTCTGTGATTTTCTTATTCAACTTATTTGTGCATCATGATGATGATATCGAGCACGAAGTATGCTTTTAATACACGCATTTATTATATTGTCATTCTTATTGTACATGTTGATGGTGAATGGAATACCTTTACGATTGTACTATGTTGTTGATGTTTGGATAAACGTATTGCGTTTATTTAATTCAGAAGATCTAAATGCAACTTTGATTATTTGATAATTACATATTGTTTGTTTAATTGACATTCAATTACTTGTTCACTAATTGCCTGGTTTATGGATAATAATGAGATCAAGATGAGATAATTTGTTTAGTTCGTGCAATAAGTAACATATATTTTGATAAAGGACAAAAGATACCTCTATAGTCTATACAATCTAGTTGAAACGATGTCAACTACGTTTACGTACATGAATTTACATTGAGATATAGCATGCTTGGACACGTGAATAAGAATAAATTTCCTTGAGACAGATCATTAGAGATAATTGATCAATTGGATTGATATTACACATTAAAAAAATGGATCAAATGATGTGATAATAAACGATATTCACACTTACGTTAACAATAACAATATTATGCGATACAAACGACGGTCGGCGGTATGAGCACCGGTCGTGGTCAACATTAGGAGGCGCGTGGGGAACATGACGTGACAGCACCCATTAGCCACTGCCACTCATGTGCTGTTGATAGCCCCCACGTGCCACATGCCTCACTCATTTCTCATCACAATGCTATGCTCACCCAATTTCTTATCTCTATTTTTTTAGACAAAAATTACTTGTTTTCATAGTAAAAATAATTATTAAATTCAAATCTATTACTTATAAGTAGTTTACTTTTATTAGACTTGGTCTTAACGTAATTATATCTTCCATAGGAGGAACTCGGCCCGTATGGGACGAGGAATTCCCGACTTAACCGATAATATGTATTCATACGAAGGAATACACAATTCTCTAATAAGAACAAGAATAAATTAAGGCAACACATACATCAAATTATGTATATTTGAATGGGGGTTGACCCTTGAGCTTGTTGATTTTAGATTCTTCCTCATTTAATTATTAGCATACTTGTGAATTTTTTCTATTAAATTGTAATTCAAGTGTGCATAGTATTCATCTTGTGAACATGCTCGAGATTGTATACTAAGTTCAATTAGGCTCTGGTTTAATAATCATTATTTTTAAACTCTTTTTTCATATACTCATTTTTAACTATACGTGTACATAATGAAATATTCTATGAGTGTATCCAAAAAATTTTAACCATACATTCTTCTAAAAATCATTATTTCAAACTCTATTTTGAAATAGGGGTTAAATAAGAATTGACTAGGATCAAACTCGAGCCACCAAAGCTTGGATTACATGGATTTTTTGAACACCGATGTGATTCTAACTAAATAAGGGCAATACATCTATTTTGCTCGGTTAAGATTGCGAAGAAAGTTGGACAACAGTTTCAAGACATAACGAGATCAAGACATGAAATTTTTATAAACCTATAACTAAGCGACTTATTAAAACTAAAATTTGAGATCATAGTAAGACTTGATTTTAAAAGTTTATGCATTGTTTTACAACTCTAAGCCACACATTCAAAGAAGGAATTGATGAATGGTTCGTCCATTTTTCTTTTTCGATTTAATACTCAAAATTTAAAGGACTGACTTAAAGATCAAGAATTTCTCATTTCTTGATTTTAAGAACTACCCTTTCCAAATTTCTCCTAAAAATATATTTAAGGCATAATTTAAAGGTGGATTTAGAAAAGTTATGATCTGTATATTGGTGCATGTATGAAGATGCAGAAGAAGAAATGTGTGTACGCTCATAAGTCATATCGAGACAATTTGTTGAAAATGTATAATCGATTGAATGAACAAATAACTTTAACTGAAGAGTTAATTTTAATAGATATTACATATTTTTCATAATATTCTTTGTCATGGATATCGGGTGAGTTTCACTAAGGGTACGTTTGATTGTGGGTATGGAATTTGTACGTCAAGAAAATAAATTTTAAGCAATTATATGAAAATTGTCAATTAAATGTGTTTGATTGATTTAATTTTTAATCTAAAAAATATTATATTTGTTTATTTTTTATTGATAGATAGACGAGAAAGAGTGGGGATATGAGAGACTTTTCGAACGAAGGAATAGAATTTGAGCTTCGAGTAAATCGAAATAATTTCAATTTCTTGTTTGGTAGCATCTACTTCTCCATAATACCATGGGTCACATCTCATCCATTTACAATGCGCCATCTATTTCGATGACGGCTACTCAACTCCACCTCCATTTACGATACCCCTCGGTACTGCCATTTGGACGGCTGTCAAATCCCCATACTGTGAAGTTGACGGTAGTGATCCTGCTTATGATACCCTTCAGTTTCACATGGCTTCGTTTGCACGCATGCTCCATTGCTGGCTTCGCTGCAGCATCCAATGGCTTGCAGCCGGCTCGCGGTACTTGACTTGTTTTTAGTTACGTGATTAGAGATAGTATTAGGCACTGGTCTCCTCCCTCGGCTTAAATTCACACTTCAAGCCAAGCAAGATATATATAATCTAATACTATTTATTGTTAGAAAATATTGTGGTTTATAAATCAATGCGATTATTTGATCCAAAAAGATTTAAACGATAGGTGATTTAAGTTAAAATCAACAATGAATTTTAATAATATATTTAATAGAACTTGTAACTTTTAAATCACACGTTGAATCAATTTCTATTAAAATTTACGAAAAATTTAATTTTAATCCCCCATCAAACAAGGTCTTGGAATAGAAAACTGATTGAAATTTGGTTTCAATTATTTCAATTGGATTAACTGATCCAACAAACTGATTGAAATTTGGTTTCAATTATTTCAATTGGATTAACTGATCCAACTTTTTATTCTTATAACATTTAAAACGTCAGTGTATTGACAGTGTCTATGCGCTCGAGATGAGATGGTATTGATAGAATCTTCTTTATTGAACTACTAATGTATATTTTTTTAATGTTATACTATTAATTTAATATATGATTCATATGCGTGTAAGTAACGCGATAAATGAAAGAATGTTACTTTTTTTCTTTGTTATTAGAGAGACAAATCATCACAATCTAAGTTCAAGGAAAGAAAACATTAAGACAAAAGTTTGACATTGGTCAATTTTTTTATTTTTAAATAATCAGAAATCATTCCTCAATCCCCTTTGTTTGATTAAATTAATCATTGTTGATTTGTTAAGTTATCAATAATAAAAAATTACTTTTTTTATTAATTAAAAAATGGTTAAATGGCACTTTCTACACTCTGGCTTAGCTAAAGCCAAAATTTCAACTTGAAAAAAGACTGAAGCGAAGTGAGTTTCTCTCTCAATATTTATGTGTATATATATTTTGTTCTTTCGCCGTCTCTCTCACGCGGATTTAGACCTCATAATTTTCTCTCTGAATCTCTTCTTTTGATGAATTCGACCAGTTCTAAATTCTGAGGTTTTCTGGTTTTAGTTTTGACTTTAGGGGTTCTTTGAATCTGTGTTTGAATGCTGCTCTGAAATTTTGCAATTTTGGGTTTGAAATTAGTATATTTTGTCTTCGTTTGGCATTTCGTAATTTGTAATTCTTCCCTTTTCGCCACTTCACACAAAATCCCATTTCTTCAATCCCCAAATTCGATTGTTTAAATCAAATTTTGAGTTTTTTTTTTTTGATAAAATGCAATACCCATCAATATATTCACAGATCAAAGCACAAGCAACACAGCCAAATCCACAGCCACAATTCACAGAACAAGAACAATTGAAGTGCCCAAGGTGTGAATCCACAAACACAAAATTCTGTTATTATAACAACTACAACCTCACTCAGCCGCGCCACTTCTGCAAGAATTGCCGGAGGTACTGGACTAAAGGCGGCGCTCTTAGAAACATCCCCGTCGGCGGTGGCTCTAGGAAGAACACTAAGCGCACCTCTTCCTCAGCCGCTTCTTCCCGAAACAACCACCTCAAACGCGCATGGCCATCCTCCACCGCCTCCACGGCCGCCGTGTCAGCGCCATCAGCGTCCAGGTCTACTGCCGCTGTTATCACTGAATCGTTGCCGCTGAAGGCAGAAAATTATGGTGGTCAGTTCGAGAATTTAACAGACTTCAGCTCAATTCTGGGGTCAAGTGGAGGGCAATTCACTGATTTGCTCAATGGTCTGACCCCAAATTGTTCAAAAGTGCAGTCAATAGAATTGGTTGGTGATCAAGATCCGTGTTCGGATCATAATATGGACCTCCAATTGGTGTTGGAGGGTGGGAATGACAATAATGCAGATGGGTACCTAAATATTCAGTGTGGCGGCAGCGCCGGCGATTCTAGCTGTTGGAATGGTGGCGAAGGCTGGCCTGATCCTGATCTAGCTATTTACAATCAGGTTCAACTTTTCAGTAATAAAAAGTACTAAAAAATTAATAAAAATGTTCATTGAGAGTGACTAAAGTGAGAGGTATTTATATTTTCTAGTTAATGAAATTCGGTAGATTACCTTTTTAACTGCCTGGAAGTCTATATGTGATTATTAAAGTATTGGTTGTGGTACTCTTCAGCATTTTTCATAGGTTTTATGTTTTTTTTAGTTTGATGGTTTGTGTGTTCTTAATACTTTGTACGAGTTATAAGGGAAAAAGAAATCTCTCTCTCATATTTGTTATTTTCTAATTTTAGGGCATGTTTGATAGTGATTATGAAAGTTAATTTTTTGACCGTTTGAGATAAAATTGATCTCACCTATGAGTGAAGTAATTGACGGCTGATTATGTTAAGTAACGATCAAAAAATTGATTTGTTAACTTGAAAAATCAGAACCAAACGAGGGCTTAATAGAGACTTCAATTGTTTTTGCAATTCAACAATAGGAATAAAAAGATACAATCTTCTTCCTATGCACAAGAAGAGACATTAGGCTAGCTGGTGGCAATTTGGTGTCCAATTGGTAAATTAGTTGTTCGAAATGAGTTAATTTCACCAATGCTCACTGAAGTTCAAGCAAAGTTTTAAATTGGTCATTAAAGCGTTTTTCCGAGAAGTTAAACAGTGTTAAATAATTGATAACTCTGTTAGCTCGATTGATGCTATATACGACGTAGTAGAGGTTAAACCTTAACGTGGACTAATGGTCAATAAATGATCGACTCAATGTGGTTGGCCTCATATGTTATCGATTATGTAATATTATTTAATTTCAATGATTAAATGGGTTATAGAAATAAATATTATGCTACAAGTACATTATGATGTTTCTAATGTACAAGTGACGTAACATCATTGGAGAGTTGAAAATTAAATTTTTTTTTTTTAACCCTCCAATCATGAATTTCCATGCGTACATTATGGACCATAATGTGCAGGTACTTGTTTTAGATAAAAATCAGATTTTTAATATACTTTCATAAAAATTGTTGAAGTGTATGGTTAAAAAGTTGATAAAAGTTATGAGTTTTATGAAATGTGTAATTAAAAATGATTTTGAGAAAAAACGAATTTGAGAAATGGGACCTAACGAGGCTTAATTTGAGCTTTAATTATCACACATGAAATCAACTCAACATATTTGACTAGAGATTTGTATTGAAAGTCGACTTTTTTATTTGACCAATTCCCTTAAAAACTTAAGTTGTCAGAAAGGAAATATATTCATTTATGGAAATATAATTTTCAACAAGTTAATCTTGAGACTAAATTTATATACCATCGAAAGTGTGACGTTTTTATGCATAGGTGGTTGTGAAACTTGAACTTAATGCTTTCATCTTTTATTTACAATTACGTTATGTTCGACCATTTTGGATTTTTTTAATTATTAGAAGTATAGCATGTTTATTTAAATTTAATCTTCAACTATTCACCTAGTTGAGGAACAATATTGAGTAGGAAAGAGGTACGGGCTAAAAGATAAAACTTAAAAAGGATATTTAAGAATTGTAAGACAAAAACCTAGTTGAAAGATCTTGTTTTGGACGATTATATTTACATCATATTTTTTACTAATTGCACCATGTTTTAATTATACTTCAAGTCTTAGTTCTTGTTTGATCCCCATTATTTTCAAAATATAATTTTCTTTCTCTTTTTTTCAACTACATATTTTTCAATCAAATAATATTACATGTAAATTTTTTAATCATGCATTCTTTATTAATCTACTATTCCAAAATGCCGTCTACACCAAAAAAATGGAGCTCAAACAGGATTTTAATCTGAGCTCATTATGGCACTTTTGTTCATGAAGAATTCTCAAGGTATTATTATAATCAACCTTCGATTAATTAGCAAATCTCAAAAAAATGTCCATTAGATGGCATAAAAAAGATATATTTTCTCATCATAATTTTAAAAGTAATAATGCAAAATTAAGACAAAGTATTTTTCCCTCATTCAAATGCACTTCAGTTCTTGAGCCACATTGTTATTTGTTGCATTCAAATTCGAAACCAATGGAGCAAAGTCAACAAAGGATTCTGATCGAACAATACTGAAAAATATATTTCTTGTAAGGAGTCTTGTTAATACTAAAGAATATATGTCTATCTGCCATCCATACCCACATAAATAGGCTTTTCCACCTCTTAGAGATAGCGGCTAGCAATATGAGAACAGCATAAATCATGAATATGAAATTGTGGAAGAAAAATACAAGCATCGTGCTACTACATGCCTAGACTAGTTAAGTTAGATGGAGATGTGTAAGAGGTGATGAAGAAAATGACACGAGGAAGAAAATTGAAGAGACATCATTTTAATTTTAGAAAGAAAAAAAAATGTATAGTTAAATACAGGACCCCTTTTCAAAAAGTGAGGTCTTTTTTGCAGTATAATTTTATCTAAGCCTCGTTAATTAAATTCCTAGCCTGGGCGACTTGTTGATCTGTGAATTGACATTTCTTTCTCCTGTGTGGTCCAATAAGGTCCGCACCCATTATGTGCCAATGGATGTGCCCTACCCATTTCACATTTTATTATTCAATGAACCACGTGCCACCCACAAAAAAATAAAAAAATAAAAAATAATAAAAATAGAAAGGTAAAAAGAAAGAAAATTTGGTGGGTGTAGGAATGGCAAAATATTTCGACCTCAACCCATGAGCAGAAAATCTAGATTTTTAATCTCCGTAGGGTGTCACCCTTCTCTAGTGTCATCGTAGGTAGGAGATTCCTATACATGAGATAATTACAAATTATAGAGAAGACGTTAAGAGTACGTTAGCATATTAAACTAATATGATTGTATAAAGTTGAAGAAAATACATTTACAAGTTTTGTCAACTGCTTATTTTAGTATTAGTAAATATGAAATATAGTTATGAAACTTCGTTTGAACTAAAGAGTTGGATGGTCAATTCTAGGCATGATTTGTATGACATTGGTGAGAATAATATGTTATAAATTTCTTTTTGTCAACTGCAGATAACAAAGTCTAATTTACTTGAAAGAGATTGGCTCCGTAGCACAAACGTAGGTATCATATTTTAATTTGACTTCTTTGCAATCCCACTTATTTGCCGACTGAAATTTATATTTTTGACTTTAGCATTGGATATTAAATGTGGCATCTGTCGAGTCAAAGCAAGTTGGAATTTCTAGTTTGCTATATATGCTTGAAAGAGAACATTACTATGTTTAATTAAAATATTCCAATTACACCTAATTTTGTTATCGAAACTTATCATTCCTTTTCTTTTTCTTAATCAAAATCTACGTAAGTACTTTTTTTTTTTTTTTTTTACTTTAAGTCCCATGCTACAAGCCTACAAGTAAAATTCAATATTATGCATGATTTGGTTTCTTGATCTTTGTGTGGAACTTTATGCATTGACCACTACACGGACAGGTTCAAATTACAAGCTAAATCCCGACTTATGTGGCAATGAAAAAAAAGATAGAAAAGCAAGGAAAAAATGATTGTTATTGCCTTTTTCCTCCAAAAACTGCCTGCTGTAATTCAAAACCCTATCAACAGGGTGTCAATGACCCTGTCCAACAAGATTAATTGTTTCATATTTGCTTTGTGATTATTGGTTAGCTAAAGGTTGCTATAAATTTCTTAGCTTTCTGTTGATGTTTTGTGGGGCTTTAAAAATAAAAGAAAGCAATATTCGATAGATGAAAGTGTAATTTTTTATTATGTATTACATTTTTTTATATGTAGTATTCCAACAATTAAAAGTACATTTTTTGAACGGCTTAAAAAATTTGGAAATAAAATATAACGCACATTGAAATAATTAAAAATGTCCTAATTAATTGCAATATTGCATCACTGTCGGGAGAGATTTATCTTACATTATCAATGTCTCGTAATGAGATCAATGTCACCATTGGGCCTATTAGTTAGGCTAATTACATATCGTAATTGGCCCATTTAAAAATTTATTCTACAACTTTATACCCCTAATTAGAATTAACTTCTTTAAAAACCAACTCTACTTTCTCCCTCAGTACATTTTTGTTACTTATTTAATTTTTCAAGAATGCTATATGTACATTTTCTTTGACATTCAACGAGGTGGCAGCAATCGTTGCCTTTAATTTTAAACACATTCCATCAACTCATCACTGGCTAGATTTCAACCGCATAAAAGGGATGTCATCATTAATGTTAACAAGGAATGTACATCTAGCATTATTCTTAAAGTTTTATTTGTTTAGGGTTAATTGCAGGATCGTGTTTTTATATAAAAATATTAGACTGTTAATTAAAGACAGGTAAAATTGTTCATTGAGGACTCAAGCACTGTCAAATTAAAATATTGAGTATTTAAATGCCACACTTTGAAGGTTGGTGATCCATGTGTTACATTGGTCAAAGATTGGGCGACCTTAGCATCATTTTCCCCCCTATAAAAATGATACGGAAGTTTATTTCCTTGTTAATGGATTGCAACTTTTGATTGCTTATAAGTTGTGGTCCTACATATTGTGTTGAGACTAAGTGTGTACTAAATTATGGGTCTTAAAAAATGTATGAATAAAAAAATATGTTGACGACCTTAAATTATAATATAAACTTTGCTAAACATCCTCCAAAAATCCTTTTACCATCGACATCCATGTTGGAAATAATATATTTTTTGGCCTACTCTAAATAAATGGACATAAGAAGGGGTTTGCGGGCACTAAAGGAAGGTGTGAAATCGTTTAGGGCAAAATCATTTAAAAATTTGAAGTTGTTTGGACAATTACGATCTCAACCTACAATATGCTCAAATAGGGTCGATATATATTTTCTCATTACTAGATTCCTCAACTCGATGCTAACAACTATAGTGAGGTCAAAACTAACAAAATCGGTTAAAAAAAAAAAAATCTAAAAAACACGCTTTCACGTAGAAATTACTTCTTGTTCCATAATTGAAGCTATACCTCACAATTGTAAAACCTCACAACTACGTACATACCACAAATAAAAAAACCATTCTAACAAACTTTAGTTCACTTTTACATGTATAAACCCCTTCCAACACCAAATTGTCCTAATACCCATGCAAACATTTCATCTCTCTCTAATTCTCCATTTCCAATTTCTCGTGTTATACAATCGAGAATCAAAAGTTTGTGTCATTGTAGAGAATTCGAGCACTCTTTTCCTGTCCGTAGTTATTTTTTCCATAAATATAAAATTTCTTTTGCCAATAAAATATGGCTTTGAGAGGCATGATAAAAAGTACAACATGGTGCCTTTTTTCAGCTATTTTGGTTGCCATCCTAAATAATCCAAGTCTTGTCATAGCTCGAAGATCAATTGAAAACATGAACGTGATCGACAAATGTTGGAGAGCCAATCCCAATTGGCGGAACCACAGGCATCAACTAGCGACGTGCTCAGTTGGGTATGCTGGAAAAATGATTGAAAACATAGGCCAAGGAGTGACGAAGTACAAAGTCACGGATCCTAGTGACGACCCATTGGACCCGAAACCCGGAACCCTGAGATATGCCATGACTAGCATTAAGGGGAAGGTTTGGATCACATTCCAAAGGGACATGAAGATTAAACTTGGGAAACCCCTTCTTGTTAGCAGCTTCACTACCATTGATGGAAGAGGTGTTAACGTTCACATTGCAAGTGGTGCTTGCCTACTTCTTCGAAGGGTAACGTTGTTTTATTTTTTTTCCTTCCAATGATTTATTATGCAAAACATCCTTGTTAAGTAATTATGACATGTTTGGTATGCATAAGTAAACAAAAATAAATAAATAAATAAAATTATCGTCTCTTGTCGTTAACATTATTCAATTTTATCTAGAACAAGCTAACAAACACGACCCTTTCATTGATGTTTAATGTTCTCAGCATCTTTGAATAATAAACCCATGAACAAGTTTAGTCACTTGCACCTTTCTTTAATGTTGTTCAATTTCGTCTACCTTTTCTTTTCACAAGTAATGCACATTTTGTAACACTCTAAATCTCTGAAATCCCTCAAGAAAATACAATTTTATGACAAATTTCAAGGAAAACATGACAGGTTACCAATGTGATCATCCACGGCCTCCGAATCCACGACTGCAAAGCGCAGGGTCCAGGGCAGGTGATGGGGCCTAATCGGGAAATCTTGGAGCTCAGCCCGGTTGATGGCGATGCAATCAGAATGGTAACCTCATCAAAGATATGGATAGACCACAACACACTGTATGACTGCCAGGATGGCCTAATTGACGTCACAAGGGGTTCCACAGGCATTACAATATCAAACAATTGGTTTAGGAACCAAAACAAGGTTATGCTCTTAGGACACGATGATGGTTACTTGAGGGACAAAGATATGAAGGTCACTGTTGCATTCAACCATTTTGGTCCGAATTGCCATCAAAGAATGCCGAGGTACGTTCCATTAAGAATTATGTTCCATCTTAAAACATCGTCTTTATTGAAAAGAATGTTTATAATATTTAGAGTTCTCTAATATATATAAAATTAATTGCTAATCAATAAATCATGAGTGTTAATCTTTTTTGTGGGTTTTTTCGCAGAGTTCGATTTGGCTATGCACATGTTGTTAACAATCTGTACCAAGGATGGGGATTGTATGCAATTGGAGGAAGCATGAACCCTAGCATAAAGAGCCAAGCAAATCTCTTTATTGCACCAAAAGGAGAGAAGAAAGAGGTAATTGTTCGGAATATAACCCTCACTCGAGCATCCTCATTTTCATTAAAAATAAAAGAGAAATAAAAATAAGAATATGAATCATACTCGAGATTTGCCTGAAAAATTCTAAATCGGAGAAAAACTATATAAATTTATCCTTCACGTGAAAAAGTTTTATAATCACATGCTCACACAAATAAATGATAAATAGTCAAGTACACCCAAGTTTTACACAATATTAATTGCTACATTGGAATATCTTTGGAGCCCAAACCAAGACTCACAAAACTAACTAGATAAATAGGATTCTTTTATTTTCATTTTTATTTTTTTGTGTAGGATAATAAAAGATGTTTGCTAGCTTTTAGTAGTCAACATTAGACAAAATAAGTAAACCCACAATTAAAATCGAATATATATTTTAAGTAGAAATATTATCACCACGTTATCCAAAAGTTATAGCTAATTGCATAAATATAATCCATCATAGATCACCCAGAATGAAACCCAGGAATCCACCCCGTTCATGTCTATCGGGCTCACTCTTATTTCAAGCATGCTCCTTCGTTAGTAACTCTAATAATTTCTTGATTAAGTAGCCACTAATTATATTTTAATAAACAGATCACATGGAGGAAAGGAAATCTGGGGATGTCTTGGAATTTCCAATCTGTTGAAGATGTATTTGAGAATGGAGCCTCTTTTAGCCAATCTGGTTATGGTGGAATTGCAGTTAAGCCAAAATATTCATCTGATCAAGTATTTCAAGTAGCAGATGCAACAACTGTCAGGTCCTTAACAAAATCTGCTGGTGCTTTGAAATGTCCAAAACAGTCGATATGCTAATTAAATAATACCCAAACTCAGTTAAAAATCAAGTCTCTAAACTTTTAAATGAACTTTATAAAGTTTAGTGATTGCATATTAACCTTTGTAAATTTCTTCAAGTAAACCTTTGTATTTGAAGACTTGTTGTATTAATTCATGGAGAATTATTGCTTGTTAAGCTAATTATTTCTAATTGTACGATTGAATTTCTTCTTCTATATCATGATATTCAACAAATTATAAATATAAATATAATTTCAGGATCGGTACATGATCATATTCAATAAAATCAAACTATAATGTAATAACAATTTAAAGGAATTTGATTTAAATTTTTTTCTTTTTAAGATTATTGAACCCTTGAACTTAATTTGAATTTAAATTTACTGGCATTTTATTTTTTTAAATAAATCAGAAAATATAAATATAATTTGAAGACAAGTTTAAGTGGATATTTATGCTTTGAATGCACCATCAATGGCACCATGAAATACTTTTATGGGTTTTATCCTTAAATGCTTTAAATATCAATAATTATTAATAGATCTCATTGCAATTAAAGTGGTAATTATTAGTTTCTTTCTTCCCGTATTTGCATATTATGGTTTTACTCATAAATTCCCACTATAGCTTTATTTTATCGTTCAGAGTAAATACAGAGTAATCTTTAAAAGGTAAGTGGTTAAGTTATACTTACCTCAAATACTTCTATTTTCTTAGAAAATTAACAAATCTAGTGTTCAGTTAATCATAGGTAAGACAGAGTACACAGTAAACCACTACAAATTAAGGACATATTTGATGTAGATTTTTTAAAATAGATTTTGTGAAAAAAGTGACCTTTAGAAGGTTATGTGATTACAAAGTGTTGGAAAAAATGAGTGAGCGGCTCACTTTTGGCACAATTTTTGGTGGGATCCGTTGGTCCAATTTGGAATATTAAAGTTGATATGTGTTCTTCCCTCGAGAACATCGAAGTCATGTATTTATTTGCCAAAAATGAAACTCGGGTGAATGAGAAATTGGAGTTTAAAGTGGACCATTGGAAATGATCTATGCTGATGGGAAAACTATAGATAATTTTGTCCCACATAGGAAAAACATGGAAACCAAAACCACTTTATATATGACTATGCATTGAAATGGTGTGATCATGTGTAGCATAGAGGTTTTCTCCACGTGCGCGCACAGGAGGTGCAAATCACGGACAGAAATAGCCTTCGGACCTTGAACTTGGGCGCGGCCTGTGCACACGAATGTCGGACCGAACGGAGCAAAAACTGGCCAGTTTAGATTGTCCGTGTTTTGTGATTTTTCCAAATGACTTTTAAGTGTCTAATTAAAGAAACTAATGGTCAGATTCAGTCTATACTCAATTTCCAGCCGTTTAAACTCAGATACAGTTCTATTTTCTATTTTTGTTCCGTCTCCTCCTGTGTCCATTCCAGTAAAGTGATACTGTTCGAACACTCGCCCAGTTCGCCGGAGTAGAATCGCGGTGCTCGGATTCTGCTAGTTACCGTTGTATCCTGGGAGACAGGCGCTCGAACTAAACCTCTAGCACTACGATGAGGGGGCGAATGTCTTAATGAAACTATGTTTACACAAGCCTCGGGTTGAAAATTTATCTATTATTTATTTAGTTTGCATTTTATTCTTACAGATTTATTTATTTAACAATTTACACATTTGCAACATACTTGACTCATATATTGTTTGTTAAATTTATGTTAGAAATAGATAAATAAAATAAACTGTTTTTCTTCAATTCGTTATATGTGTGAAAAATAGATTTCACATATACGGTATTTCTATTTGTAAGTAAAAGAATTTGTGTTATTTTAATTAGTGTATGAATAAAAACACTTTATACAAATTTTATGCAAATACGGTGAGCTTTGCCTGCAAATACAGTGAGTTGCCATATACGGTGAGCTTGCTGCAAATACGGTAGGCAATATATACGGTAAGCTGCCAAATACGGTGAGCCGCCTAGCATATACGGTAAGCTACCATATACAGTGAATTGAACTGCCAAATACGGTAAGCAATACTAGTAAGTTCTGGGTTAGCTCAGAACATGTGGGAGGAAGTTGTGTTATCAGAAATGCCAAAGAAGAAGAGGAAAGAAGCAAATATGGTTGACTACATGGCACAAGATGTCTCAGAAATGAATCTCGCAGCCGTCATTTCTGAAGTGAATCTGGTGGGTGCCACGCATTTTATGCAACGTGGTTTAACCGCAAGCATACAGTGTCAAGTTTTGTAGTATATTAAAGAATTGAAAAGTGTCGAACCCACTGGGATTGATATTCGACTTCTACTGAGTACTATAATTATGTCCGCGTTTACTTTATCTAGACAATCAGATGTTAAATTGATGTTTGAATGTCAAACTAATGTTATGAATTAAATACGCAAGGAACGTGAGGCAATTTTTAAAGATTAGATCAAAATTACATGATGTCTAGGGAGTGATTTCACTATATTATCAACATAATTCTCAACCCTTATAAATATTTCTATCAACTATTTCCCGAATTCATAGGCAAGAATCCTAAATTAATCCTATTTCCCTCTCTCGAGCGTCAAATAGAACCTATCTCTATATTTTAATCCCAATATCTCTATTCCGAATTAAATATATAAAGATTATCAAGCATTTGGTTCTTGTTTTACCCTCAAAGATTCGCACTTTCTCTCAAAACCTATGAATCTAGGTTATATTGTTCTTAAATCACGCCTAAATTTCCCTCTCTCGAGCGTCAAATTTAGAGCATCAATTCATTCAATTGGTGATCAGGCAACTGAAAGCATTACGCAAGAACAATACAAATCAATTCTGGAGAAATAAACGGGAATACTATAAAGAAATTAAATTATGTATCAAATATGTTACATCAAACCCTAGATTTAAAAGTTTAGTTCATGATGGAGAAGAAAAATGCAATGAAATACAAACTAGAGTGCATGGAGAAAAGAAAGATAGGAGAAAACTCAGTTTGCTGCTGGAAAACTCAAGTTTGCCTCTTGATTTCTCAGTTTTCTTCTTGATTTCTTCTCCAAAATCGGGTCAATCTTCTCTCAATTGGTACTTCTTTTTCTCTTGCCTCATTAGCCGTCTAATCCCCCTCTCTTGGTCTTCATCTTGGTATTTATATTTTCTAGGATTCCTCAATAGTTAGGGTATGATTTTCGGGCCGAGAAATAATTAAAATTTCGGGTTTTATGCATTTCGGGATTCGGCGCCGCAGCGCCCAAGTCTGGCACCAGTGGTACTGCTCTGCTTCCTCTTCGTTGGGTGCCATGGCGCCAGGTCTACTGCTGGAACTTGACTGCTTTTGTATGGCGCCCATTTTTGGAGCCGTGGCGCCAGTGCCACTGCCTTACAACACTTCACTTTAATTTTCAAGCCTATTTTTATTCCGATCTTTTTCAATACTTGCTTATTCATGCTCCATTTCAATGATCATCATTTTTGCTCATCACAGGCTCCCAATTGTGGTATTTTCTCGAGAAATGTCCAAACTGCAAAACAACACGAACAAACACATCAAAACGTTCAAAAGTGTCCAAGAACAAATCAAAAAACGTGATTTAGAAGCTTTAGTTTAATGAGTGAATTACACTCATCAAACACCCTCAAACTTAGTTCTTTGCTTGTCCTCGAGCAAACACAAAACTAAAGATAATCATTAACGAACACACAAGCACAACAAAAACATACAACGTCACTCAAAAGAAACATTATGTTAGACACCTTGCATTTATAGCTACCAGTTCAATGAATTTGTCTTAGTAAATGACGTATGTCCCAAGTAGACACAAAAATCTTTAATGAAACAATATATCGAACATGTGGTGGACGGCTAGAATAAACAAGTCATCAAAAATATCCCACGAATAGCGCAAAAGAAGTCTTTGGTAAAATTTATCAAACATTTTGTGGGCAAAACGATAAATTAGTAGTTAGGAAAATTCAAGCCCATAGAAAATTACAAAGTCTTCTAACATAGATTTCAACATTAGCAAAGAATGTCAAAGGGGCAGAAGAACAAACAAATTGTAGGCGTACAACAAAATAATTTCGAAGATAAAACAAAAATCCACATAATCTTTACCAAAACACAATCCAACAAAGAAAAATGATAGTTTGATGTAGCCCCAACCAAGATTACCATTAGAAGTTCAAATTAAGTAAAAGGAAGGAAAATTGCATTTTAAAAAAACGTACTTTTTTTGAAGAACTAGTCAATAACCTTTCAATTCTAAGATATTGGGTGTTATAGATGTGAATGTGTGTAAAGGTGGGGTAGTATGAGAGAATTATGTGTGTGCAAGTGTGGGGAGGAAGAGGGGGAGACTTGAGAGAGGAAAAGAATAAAAGGGTTTGGGGGTAGGGAGATAAAAAGATTGAGGGATCGTGTGTATGTTTTAAAAAGGGTTGGGCGCCATGGCGCCAAAGTTACTGAATTTTTTTTTTTTTTTTTTTAAAGAGTTGGCATTGCAGCGCCAAATATGTGCGCCACGGTGCCAACTATTCTGAAAATGTAGTAAAAAAAAAAAAAAAAAAAAAAAAAAAAAAAAAAAAAAAAAAAAAAAAAAAAAAAAAAAAAAAAAAAAAAAAAAAAAAAAAAAAAAAAAAAAAAAAAAAAAAAAAAAATT